ATACCTTCGCCCATACCCAGCAGGAAGCAATTTTAAGAATATGACGCCCACATTCCCAAAGAGGTGGTGTGGGGTGGGTGATTTTTTGGTCTTTTTAATGGGTTTGGGGTCTGGGATAATTTTCATTGTTTAGGGGGGTTGGTTACAAGTTGTTGTCAAGGGTTAGCAAAAAGGCTAAGCAAAGGAGATTAGATTTAAGGTTCTTGTTTTTTTAAAAAGAAAAAGACAATTACTAGTTTTAAATACTTTACATTGGATTGGATTGTTTTATATTGTATACAAATTACATATATTGAAATTGATATTGTTAGAAAATGCTGTATGTATATTTCTAATTGTACTTATACCGTTCATTTAACAAATAATGCAATTTTCTGATTCTTGAATGTTATTAGGATATAAAGAAATCAAAGTTAGCAGTCAGACAGTACAATAGAACTTGTAGTCATATTAGATATGTTTTAAAAATTGAGCAGATATATTTTAGATAGACAGGTCATCTTCAAACCCTTCAGAGATCTACAGAATATGGCATTTAACATGTTTCAATAACTTAGAAAATTTTTCTTTTTTGTTATGACTATGAGACATGTCGGCTCCTGGCAGTACCAATCTACTTCAGAGAAAATATGGGCATTGAAGAAACTGCATGTGGAGTTACCTTTCATTGTGGCAAAAGTTAGCCACTGGACAACAATGTATCCTTGAATCAACTGACAATCTGTACAGACAGGCAGTGATGAGGCAGTCACATGGTTGGGTTTACAACCAATGAGAAGGCAGAACAGAAAGTCTATATAAAGACAGACAGACAGAAAGTAGGTCTCTTTCAGAGAGTTCTCTTGGCTGAAGAGGATAGCTGCAGCAGGTGGGTAAGGCTCTTAGCTCTGATCTCTTGTCTTTCTTCTTTGCATTGGTTCTGTGTTTCTTATTTAATAAGACGGTTGGTTACATCTACACATGTGTGTGTGCATGACCACTGAAGCCAAACGATGGTGTCAGATCCCCTGGAGCAGGAGTTACATGAGCAAACTGGGGTCAGTGGGTAATGGAGGGCAAGGGTCGGGGGAAAGAGAGCTTAGGGGAGCAGGAGGTCCCAGCTGAATCAGGAACAGAATGGGAGAACAAGGAAAGAGATACCATGATAATTGAAAAACCCCATGGAAATAGGAAGAAGCAGAGTGCTAGAGAGGTCCCCAGAAATCCACAAAGATACTTCCACTATAGACTACTGCCAATGGTCGAGAGAGTGCCTGAGCTGACCTACTCTGGTGATCGGATGGCCAAACACCCTGTCATGATAGAACTCTCATCCAGTTTCTGATGGAAGTAGATGCAGAGATCCACGGCCAAGCCCCAGAAGTCCAATCGGCCAGAGACAGGAGGGATTCTATGAGCAAGAGATATCAAGACCATCATTGGAAAAAGTACAGAGAAAACTAGCCAAACTAGTGGAAACACATGTACTGTGGACCAATAGCTGAGGAGCCCCATGGTACTGGAGTAGGTGCTCTGGGTAAATGAGACAGTTGTTTAGCTTGAACTGTTTAGGCCAAGTGGGACCAGTACCTGTCCCTAGTGCATGAACTGGCTTTTTGGAACCTAGTGCCTATGGTGAGACACTTTGCACAGCCTTGGTGCAGGGAGGAGGGACTTGGACCTGCCTCAACTGAATGTACCAGGCTCTGCTGACTCACCATGGGAGACCTTGCCTTGGAGGAGGTGGGAATGGGGGGTGGGTTGGGGGGAAAGGCCGGGGGATGAGAGGAGGGAGGACAGGGGGATCTGTGGTTGATATGTAAATGAATAGAAAGTCTTTTAATAAAAAACTAAAAGCTAAAAACAAAAAAAATTTAAAAAAAAGAATTCATTCATTTTGATTTGGGGAACCTTGAAATAGACATGGTGTCTAATTCAAAATGAAAACAATATGAAGTGGGTATGAGAAAGTTCTATAATGCTGATTTACCCATAACAAATTTTGTCTGAAAAAAAACCACAGCTTTTAAATTATTTCTTCTAGTAAGAACAAATATGCTACTGAATTGAATGACATTACAAATCCAACATTTGGAGTTTTCTTGTCTGCTATAGTAACCTATAGTCATGTTCAGATCTTTGTATTTTTTCATTCATTAAACAAATTACAGTTATCATTGGTGCTAAACTTATAACCACATGGGTCTAGTGGGGAACTTACTGACTATTATAGGAAAACAGTGCTTTCTTGCTCACAGGACAGTGTGTTAGGCCAGAGAGACATGGGTCGATAATCAGATAGAAGATAAAGATGCTAAGCCAGATGTGTTCACAATGATGTGCTAAAGTAGGCCCACCCACTGTTAACTATCAGGGCTTCCACAATGTAGCTGTCAAATCACTAGCAGCCTGAAATCAAATCCTGTAGAATGATGGTATTCAGGTCAAATACATAGGTCATTTGTCTTAATGTTTTATTTGGGGAAAAGTGAAGGGTAGATAGAACAAGCCTGTTTATATCCCTACACATGGATGAGCATCATAATATTTAAGTTTCTTAAGTCTCTGTAGAGATATTCAGTTTTCTTAGCTTCATCCATTGAAAGGAACAATAGAAATATTCACATTAGACCTGTTTTGGGATTCCAGCTATCACTAAGAGTAGTCAAGTGCTGTGGAATAATCCTCCTGTACACTATGAACATGTATTACTCTCATTGACTAATAAAAAGCTAATTGGCCGGTAGCCAGGCAGGAAGTATAGGTGGGATAGCAGACACAGAGGAGGCTGGAAAGAACAAGATGGGGTCAGGGAGTGGCCAGCCAGACGTAGAGGGAGAAGGATGAACATGCCATGGTAATAAGGGTACCGCCACGTGGCAGAGTGTAAATGTTGAATATGGGTTAATTTAAAATGTAGGAGCTAGTTAGTAATAAGCCTGAGCTATTGGCCAAGAATTTATATTCATATTCAGCTTCTGAGTCAGTAATTTGGGACTGGGCAGTCAGGACAAGGAAACTCCATTTACAGCCAAGATTTCTTTGAAAAGTGGCCATTTCTAGGGAATTATAGAGAAATAGAGAGACACTTGGAATATCTTTCACTAGAAAGCAAGAATATGCTCCAAATATGATCAGTGTGAAGACAAAGAATCTTCTGGATGATTTTCTAGTGGAGGAAGATGGGTACCACTATTCACTGGCCAAAACTCATAGAATAGAGACCAGGATTCAACCTTACATAAACAATCTCAGTGTAAGTCCATCTTATAACACATGCACCACTCTGCAGGGCAGGGGTGTGGACGGTGGGGATGGGTGTTACATGTATTCATGGGCAGGAGTATATTGGCGATCACTACACTTTCCTCTCAGTTCTTCTATGACCAGAAATTGCTCTACAAATTAATGTCTCTTATAGGAATTAACAATTAATAAGGGTTGATAAGATGGCTCAGTGGATAAACGTACTTGCTGAGCAAGCCAGGGGGATTGAATTTGATTCCTGGACCCATGTAAAGGTGAACAGAGAGCCCTGACTCTACAAACTTACCTTGTGACCTTCACATGCATACCATAGCTGGTGTGACCATTCACCACCAAAAAATGATTAATAATAGTAATAATAATAATAATAATAATAATAATAATAATAACTTAAAAACTTAAATGAAAGGGGTCTGGAGAGATGATTCAGTGAGTAAGAGCTCCTTTTGTGCCAAGGGGGAGGTTCTGAGTTCAAATCCTCCAAACTCACATAAATAGGTGTGGCCACACATTCTTGTAACCTCATCAAGGTAGGGAAATGGAGACAAGAGGCTCCCTGGGGCTTTCTGGCTGCCAGTCTAGATCCACACTCATCTAGAGATCCTGCCTCAAATGAATAAGACAGAGAGCAACAGAGCTGAACACCAACATTCTCCTCTGGTCTTTGTGAGCAGAGAGAGAGAGAAAGAGAGAGAGAGAGAGAGAGAGAGAGAGAGAGAGAGAGAGAGAGAGAGAGAGAGAGAAACTAAAATGAACAGAAAGGACCCACCATGTCACACAAAAAGGCCATGAGTGGACACGCATAAGACAGTTGAATGCAAAGTAGCTAGTGATAAAAGTCGAGAGCAACAGGGAATGCATGAGATCACAGTGACAGAAGCAACTGAACAAAATTTAAATAATTTTTAATAATAGAATTAAAAATTTTTAGATGATAAAGAAGAGGACATTCCTTTACATTGGGTGATGACTGTAAGTATAGAGTAAATAATAGTAAGAAGGCCATCCTTCTGTAGCTATAACAGTAATAGTAGTTTTCATCACAAAGCATCCACAGATGATATAAAACCAGGAGGTTAAAAGATGAAGAAGAGGCTGGAGAGATGGCTCAGAGGTTAAGAGCACTGGCTGTTCTTCCAGAGGTCCTGAGTTCAATTCCCAGCAACCACGTAGTGGCTCACAACCATCTGTAATGAGATCTAGTACCCTCTTCTGATGTGCAGGGATATATGCAAACAGAACGCTGTATACATAATAAATAAATAAATCTTTTTTAAAAAGATAAAAGATGAAGAAAAGCTGAGTATATAGTTTCCCAGATACAATTTACACAGAGCAGAGTAAATTGCAGATGAAGTTGTTGAATACAATTCTACCACTCACTCCCAGGGACCATCCCCACTGCTTGACAGCATGCTTCCTGATTAGGGCCCAGGTGCAAACTCCCAGGCAGAGATTCAGAATCCATGGGATTGGAAGGGACCGAGAATCTGAATCTGCTCTGACAGATGACCCAGAACCACTGAGGACTTCTGGGCGTGAAAGGTTTCTCTGTGGCTGCCCTACAGGCTCTGGTCCAATTACACCAGTGTACTTCTATAAAGCTCCCATGGACACCATAGATATCATCCATGTGCATGTCTTTCAGAAATTTGGCAGAAGTTTCCATCCTGGACCACCCCCCATGCACATGTCCTGACACCCTCTTCTCTCTGAGCTTCTTGATCCACACATGGTAAAGAGTCCTGGGTTACCTTTTGGGGACTCTTCGCCTTTGGAGTTCTGAGTGTTCATCATCAGCTGAAGAAAATCCACTCGGGTCTGGAAGAAGAAAGAGAAAAGTCGATGATGGTCATCTAGCTGAGAGGTCAGACTTGAAACAGGGGTTCAGAACTTCACCTCCCTTCTGAGAATATGCCCACCTGAAGTCCATTGGTGCGACTTGAGCCACCAATGAATAAAAGCATGTATGGGGCTGAAGAAATTGCTCCGTGGTTAAGAGCACTGAATGCTCTTGCAGAGGACCTGGGTTCAGTCCCTAGCACTGATAAGGTGAATCACAATCACTTGTAACTCCAGTTCTGGGGATCTGATGCCCTCTTCTGGCCTCTGCAGGAATTGCACACGTGTGGTACACAGGCATACAGGTGGGCAAAGCACCCATATACTTAAAATAAAAATAAAGGAAAATTAAAGCCTCTATCAGCAAGCCTTGGGGAACAAGTCATTTCCATGGGAGAAATGCAGTTTTTGGTCTTTGTTTCTCTGATCTAAGTTTCTTCAGCTTCTGAGCAGATTCCTGGCCAAAGAGCTGCTGGCTCCTTCTCTCATGCTTGCTCAGAAAAGTTCCGAACTCCAATTCTCTCTGTTCTCTTACCACAATGCTTAACCAACAGCCTCCTTGATTAATTCTATCTCTAGTACTCGCTTCCAAGTTTTGTGTGAGCATCCCCTGATACTCCACACTCCAGGCACTACAAAATTCTAAGTGTCGCCACAGGTGCCCTTCTCCCTGATCTGCAGACAGAATTTTTGTGGCTTCCAGGCTACATAGCAGAGCTAGGTTAGCAGCCTGAAAACTGATTGTCCAGAGAAGATATTCACCTTTTGGGTGAGTGGCTTGTGACCTCACTGCCAAAAAAAATTCCCACACACAAAGCAAGAAGTACTCAAATTTAACATGGGCCAATCTCTACCAGATATGACCATACTTCTATTGGAGAATATACTAAAATAAGAAGTTTAAAACTGAAACCATTCTTTTGATGATATAAACTTTAGGTACAGAATAATAGTAGTAGATATAATTTGTAAGTACAAATTCTATTTTTTGACTCTTTTCAATTAATGGTGGTGGCAATGTTTTTACTTGATTGGCACTTATCTCAGGGAATAATAACTTTCACTCCTTTTGGCAAATGTGAAACTGTTTCTCTATTATTCTCATATAGCATCACCCAACTTCTATCTTCTTCTCCCTAAAATGTTAACATTATCTTGCTCTAAGCATAGTTTACTCTATTCATTTTTAAGAGAACACAGAGGAAAATACATAAATCACACACTCACAGCCTGACACATGACCAAACCCTGAGCATCATGATTAAACCCTGAGCATCATGACCAAACTCTGAGCATCATAACCAAACCATAAGCATCAAAACAAAACCCCAAGCATCATGACCAAACCCCGAGCATCATGACTAAACCATGAGCATCAAAACCAAACCCTGAGCATCATGATTAAACCCTGAACATCATGACCAAACTCTGAGTATCATAACCAAACCTTGAGCACCATGAAAGAAGCATCATTTTACCTTCTGGTTTGAATCAAGGCGATTTTTCTTCATCCTTGTTACAAATTTTTTGAAAAAGTCCACTGATTGTCTTGGAAAAATGGAGAGATTTAACAACTCATATATTGGAGTAAGGAATGGAAACAGAACTACAGAGAAAAAATACAGAGAATAAGTGACTATGGACTGCCCAGCATCAAAGGATATGCCTACAATGCAAACTCTATACTTAAGGCTCAGGGAAAATCATGGACAAGGAGGAGTGTTGTAAAAACAAGAAGATGAGAAAGCCTGCTGTGAGATTGCATCTTCTAGACATGGCAGGGAAACTGGACTTAAGAAATCTCAATGATATGGTTGTCTAGACAAGATCCATGTAGAGATAACAATGGTTGACATGCCAATGTGAATGGGGAAATCCCACAAGCTCTTATCTCTAGATGAAGAGTCACAGGAAATTAATGACTATTGAGAGAAAGAGTCAGTTTTCTCCAAAGATGAGGCCATGATAGGTGATCTAACCCCAGGTAGTTGGCCATAAACATGGATGTAAGAGCAACACTAAATGGACTCAGTAGGCTAGAGGCATGTGTACATATGTATATGTAACCATTATAGTTATAGGAGAAGAGTCATGGATTAAGAAGGACATGAGCAGAGTGGCGGGGGTGGGGGAAAATAATGCAAATATAGTACTCATATGTAAAAGTCTTAAAAAATGTAAATAATCCCCCATAATGTTTGACTCCTAAATGTACCCTAAGGTGGTAATAACAAGAAAATCATGAAGAAAAAATGAAGTTTCATGTGGGATGTGGAGAAAATGGAGCCCTATGAAATAATGGCAGCAAAACAAACAAATAAATCCTGAAAAAAATTTTTAGTTGCCCAACAAGTCAAACATAGAATTCCTCTATAATTCACCAATTCCACACAATTTTCCTACTCAGAAAGCATGAAAACAAATGTTCAGTCATCGGATGGTTCATGATATGATGAACATGGGAGTGGCAACAGATGGTTCTGTTGAATGTATGATGGTAAGTGAAAGAAAGTAGTTGCGAAATTCCATATACTCTATAAAATATTTGTATTGTATTTTAATGCTGTGCCCAGAATAGGCAGATTTACAGGAACAGACAGCTAACTGGACATTTCTTATGGTGAGAAGGAATGGGAGATGAGAGTGAAAAGGTGAAGTTTTTCTTAGAAAACACTTTTCCGGGTTGACAATGGTGAGGGTGCATGTGCCTTTGGTGAACAAAAGTTGAATTATACATTTTAAGTATTTGAATTTTTTACATGTGAACTATATCTCAATTATGGGGTTATTTTGACTGATGTGTAGGAGGGAGGAATATAAAGAAAGAAGAAATAGTGTACATACCTATAGAGAGAAGAAACGGATCAAAAATGGAAAACTTTAAGATCTTTTTGGCTTTCTGCACAAAGGGATCCTCTGGGTTGTTGAGGGAATCAACGTTCACTCCAAATGATGTACCAATGATCACATCCATGCTATAAGCTCCAAGGATACTGAGGAGAGAGACATGGGAATCAACATCTACATCTGAGGCAGCTCATATTTCCAAGCCACCCAGGTAGGGAGCCACACAGTCAGAATCACATGCTGGATCATCAGTGGGGTCTAGGCTCCTATCACACTCACATATGGGGCCTTTACCTGGTGTTGGTTTGCAGATGTCCCTTTCCTAGAGTTGAAGGGACACTAAGGTACTTACAGTCCCATCACCTACACCACCACTTACTCTTTCATGATGATGGGCTTCCCTCTCTCTTCTTCTCGTCTCAAGTTTCTCACCAATGTGTCTCCATACTGTCCAATGATGGGGAACATCTAAGCAGAAAGCACAGCGTCTGTAACTCAACGAGGAAACTCAGGTTCCAGAAAGACAAATCATCCCCAGTCATGAAGCAATAAGTGGGATGTTACAGTGGATTTTATAAAGGGTCCTCTGGGCATGAAAACAGAAGATCATCTTATAGGAATTGTAACTCAGAGGACCAACCCTTGGAAAGGGACTGTGGGCTTGTTTTATACCTGTCCCCAGATTCATTGCATAAGTAAATGCCCTCTCCCTCATCACCTCCTTGAGTTTTCCACTGGTGAAAGTTGGCGACAGCAGTGTTCGAAGTCTCTTCCATTCTTCATCCTCAGATATGCTGATGGCCTTTTTCATAAGTCCCACTGGACCAAAAGCCTAGAATTGAAATAGAAAGGATATTTATCATATTAAAGTTATGATAATCTTCACAATTCTAGAAAGTTGATTAAACAAACATTATTTACTTAACAAATATTACTGATTATTAAGTGTCTGAACATTACTAGATGCTCAATAATCTTTTATTTAAATTGTAATTCTTATGGGTAGAGGTAACACCACACACCTGGTATAGCTTCACATCTATCTATGACTGTCTCATTTTAAATGAAAGTCACCCTTGCAGGATCAATGAGAACAGATAGGACAGCCCTACAGCATCCTTCAAAGCTGTACAGACAAAAATGCATTAGTGACAGACAGCAACTGGCCTTGGCAAAGTATCAGCTCAGGTCAGTTCCTCATTTACTTCTGTCAACAGTATGAGCAATTGGATGATTGGAAGTTGAGTTTTTAAAAAAGCTATGGATGCTATAAAATATTGACTTGATTGTAGCTAGAGTTTTCCTGCCCGGCCCACAGTCAGGACAAATCTGTATCACCTGCCAGTCCCACAGCCTCTCAGACCCAACCAAGTAAACACAGAGACTTATATTGCTTACAAACTATATGGCCGTGGCAGGCTTCTTGCTAACTGTTCTTACAGCTTAAATTAATCCATTTCTATAAATCTATACCTTGCCACATGGCTCGTGGCTTACCGGCATCTTCACATGCTGTTTGTCATCGTGGCGGCTGACAGTGTCTCTCTGACTCAGCCTTCCACTTCCCAGCTTTATTCTCCTCCTTGTCCCGCCTATACTTCCTCCTGCCTGACTACTGGCCAATCAGTGTTTTATTTACCAACCAATCAGAGCAACACATTTGCCATACAGAACATCCCACAGCACTTGATATTTCAAGAAATAATGCAATTGTATAGAAATTATTTTTTATCTTAATTTTCTATGTAAGGACACGAAGAAAAAGAAAAATAATTCTATTCCTCTACTAGGAATGTTTTTCAATCACATATATCTGTGAACATTGAGTAAATGGAATGAATACACACACAGATTTTGTTGTTGCTGTTGTTTTGTTTTGCTTTATGACAGGGTCTCACTATGTAGCCCTGGCTCTCCTGGAACTCACTATGTAGACTAGGCTGGCCTTGAATTCACAGAGATTCTCCTGCCTCTACTTCTTGAGTGCTGAGATTAAAGGCATGCACTACCACACCTGGCTCCTAGAACTGTAATTTGTGCTCACAGACTCTTCTAATATTCTTCTATAACAAAAGTTCAGTACTACAGGTGGACATAAACTTCTTCCACTCCATGAAACAGGATTATACAAAATCCTTCAATCAACTTCAAACTTAATGGTGAAAGTCTGAACGTTTCACCCTCTGATCTGTAGCAACTTTAAAAAGTCTGCTGTGTCAGCCTGTTCTACAGAGGGAGTTCCAGGACAGCCAGAGCTACACAGAGAAACCCTGCCTTGAAACCCCCCTAAAAAGTCTACTGTCACTGTTGTCATTAAGTACCATCCTTGAAGTGCCAGCTGGTGCAACAAGAAAGTAATAATCAAAAGTATTCTTATATTCAGGCAACATAATTATCTGTGTAGAACATATCAAATAACACAGAGAAAGAATTTATAGGAATAATAAGTGAATCTTGTGATTGTTTTATGATACAGCAACAATTCAAAATCAATTGTGTTTGTACTTACCATCAATTGTATTAGAAAAAAATCTCAAGAATATTACATAATAGCCAACCATGTCCAGAAATGTTATAAGTTATTTATACTTAAGATACAAGCTTAGCAAACAATGTACAGGTCTTTCAGCTGAAACCTATAAAATTTCCATGTGGAAACCAAAAGAAATCTAAAAAGTGTAGCGCACACAATAGTCATAACTTAGAGGATTCAACACAAAAAAATGTTTATTTTCTCATGTCAATTTCAAATTTTCAACAAACTGAGATCATTGTCAGTATAGACAAGCTTGTTCTGATTTGGGCTAGAAAGATAAACGGCCGGGAATATTTCTATCAACTCTAGAAAAAAGTGGGTGGAATGAGTCCACATGATGTAAAGATTCAATTCTCAAGAAGATGTGGTCCTAGAGGAGAGAAAGACATTGTGCGCAATGGAAGAAAATATAGAATGAGAAATGGTTCCACATGAATAGGGCCAATATGCTAAAAATATTTTAGAATTTTTTTATATTTGTGTGTGTGCTTGTCTGTATGTGTGTTTGTGCACCACATGTGTGCAGTGACTTCAGAGGCCAGAAGGGGGTGTCTGATCCCTGGAACTTGATTTACAGATGGTTGTGAACTACCATGTAGTTGCTGGAAATTGAACCTGGGTCCTTTGGAAGATCAGCCAGTGCTCTTAACCACTAACTCATCTCTTCAGTCCCTGAATAGGTTTGATAATGCTATAAGAAGAATTCTGTGGGGGAAACAGTTTGCCCCAAATGATACATAAATAACTGGACATGGGTGGTGCAACCTGAAACTTTACCTGCATTTCATACTTTATACCCTAAATCTCAAACATATCATAGATGGTAATGTAAAGTATAAAACTATATGTACATGCTCTAACAAAATAAGAGTGCTAGGCCCAGCTGAGGATGTAGCTCAGGTGGCAGAGCGCTTGCCTAGCATGCATGAAGCCTGGGGGCTTGATCCTCAGCACTGCATAAACCAGGTGGGGTGGCACATGCCTGTAACAGCAGCACTTGAGAGGTTTAAGACTGAGGCAGGGACATGTGAAGCCTCATTAAAAGAAGAGTGCTGAAGAAAATATGATCAGACTTGACCCCAAAAGCACATTCACCAAAAGAAAAGTGGATCAGACTCGGAGGAGGAAAAGACAGGTGACTTGTGGCCGCTGTAACACACTTACAAGTGAAAGCTCCATGTTGGAGGGACAGTCCTGTGTCCTCACTGTGTAGTTGTTACATAGACTTAGACACGTGACAATCTGCAGAGAGCTACCCATGGAATATACACACACAAGTCAGAGAATGGTAAAGAAACTGTGGATGGTGTCAATGTCAATTGCTTTTGTATAGCAGTTGCATCCTAGGTAGCTTTACTTGTCAACTTGACACAGCCAAGAGCCATCTGAGAGGAGAGCCTGGACTGGGGAATTGTCCATATCAGACTGGCCTGCAGGCATGTCTGTGAGAGATTGCATTGACTAGGAATTGATGCAGTAAGGCCCAGTCCACTGTGGGCAGTACTATCCCTAGGCAGGCGGCCCTGTGCTTTATAAGGAAGCTAGATAAGTGTGAGGCTGAGCAAGCTAGCAGGTAGCTTCTCTTCATGGTTTTTGCTTCAAGCTCCCGTGCTGAATTCATCCAGTCACAGATTGTGACTTAGAAGTGTCAGCCACTGAACCTTTTCCTCTGCTAAGCTGCTTTTGGTCAGAGTGCTTTTTCAAAGCAACAGAAATGAAAGTAGAAAAAGTAGAACTATGTTATATTTATACAAGTCATCACACACACACACACACACACACACACACACACACACACACACGTGTGTGTGTGTGTATATGTATGTATGTATGTATGTATGTATATAATCATGAAGAGCACCAAGAACTTTCCTGGGTGTGATGGCAGCTCTTTAAAATTTAAATTTAATTTAAAATTTTGTGGTGGACTGTTGTTATTTGCTTTTATTCTTTACTCTGTTTTTTGGCCCTCTGGGTCTTTTGGGGGGCTTGCCACCCAGCTCCCAAATAAATCATACAGAGTCTTATTCTTTCTTGTGAATGCCCGGCCTTAGCTTGACTTGTTTCTACTCAGCTTTTCTTAACTGAAATTATTCCATCTATCTTTTGCCTCTGGGATTTTACCTTTCTCTATTTCCGTATATCTATCTTTCCTTCTTATTCCGTCTCTGGCTTCGTGGCTGGGTGGCTGGCTCCCAGCATCCTTCTGTTTTTCTCCTTGCTTGATATCCCTATATCTCTTTGTCTCTTTCTATTTATTCTCTCTGTCTGCCAGCCCCACCTATCCTTCCTCCTGCCTTGCTATTGGCCGTTCAACTCTTTATTAGACCAATAAGGTGTTTTAGACAGGCAAAGTAACACAGCTTCACAGAGTTAAACAAATGCAACATAAAAGAATGCAATACATCTTTGCATCATTAGACAAATGTTCCACAACATAAATAAATATAACACATCTTTAACTAATGTTCTACAACAGTTGTGGCAGTTTGAATAGGAATTGCCCCCATAGGCCCATAACTTTGAATGCTTGGTCATTAGGGAATGGTGCTACTTGACAGGGATTAGGAGGTGTGGCCTTGTTGGAGGAAGTGTGTCTCACTAGGGTAAGCCTTGGGATTTCAGAAGCCCAAGGAAGGCCCAGTGTTTATTTCTTCCTGCTGCCTGCAGATCTGGATGTAGAACTCTCAGCTACCTCTCCAGCACCACGTCTGCCTGCATACTGCCGTGCTTCCTGTCATGATGATAATGGACTAAACCTCTGAAACTGCAAGCCAGCCCCAATTAAATATTTTCTTTATTAGGAGTTGCCATGGTCATGATGTCTCTTCATAGCAATAAAACATTGACTAAGACAATAGTAAAGATTTATGTTTCTTAAAAAGGAACACTTACCCGACGGTTTGTGAAGATTGAGTAGCATTCTTTCACTAGCACCACTTTGATGAGCTCTGGATCTGTGATAGCCAGCACAGGCTGTTGACCGTCATAAAACCTGAGGTGGGAAAACAGGGTGGACTGAACATCAGAAGCCAGATTCAACACCTGGAATCACATACAGGATTCGACACTCCACTCCCAAGGCTGCACAGTCCACAATCCCAGCTCTATTAAGCATAGCAACATGAACTCCTAGTTCAAGTTCTGACCATTGAAGCCATTGGAGTCTTGTGAAATGAAGAGTTATGTAGCTAAAGCAGGGAAGAGACACTTAGAACACAACAGCCCTTTAAAGACATTTTAGTTAGAATTAACACTGGAACATCTCTTAGGGCTAGGTGTGCATACGTGGTGGTTGCTAATACCATTCTTGCCTGTTTAAATAGTTCAGTATCTGGGTTGGAGATATGGCTCAGTGGTAGAGTCCTTGTCTATGAAGTGTGTGGCACTGGGTTTGACCCCCCAGAGATACAAAAAATTCGAGAAAATTAATAAATGATTCCAAAGTCAAAACAGAATGTATCAGAGGAACTTATACTGTTGCAGGAGCAGTTGCTTTGGTGCCACCAGAGGGCAGCACAACACACGCTTAACATTGAGTCACATGGTCACTGTTTTGTCTGGCTTGATCTTGTGTGGCTAGGCAGGTCATAGGCCCTAATGGACATAATAATAAACCAACTCCCAAAGACTTATTACACCCATAGATTAGTACAGGCGCAGGTCTCAACCCTCATCAGAGAGGCTTCTTTTAGTACAGTGGTTCTCAACTTGTGAGTCACAAACCTTGGAAAACATATTTCTGATGATCTTAGGAACTGACATACTGCTCAGTAGCAAAATTAAAGTTATAAAATAGCAACAAAAATTTATGATTGGAGACTCCTAAGACAATCAAAAATATGTGTTTTCTGATGGTCATGACCCACAGGTTGAGAAGTGCTGTTTTAGCAGGAGATGGAGATTAACATAGAGACCTACAACTGGTCAACGTGCATAGAATAAGAAATTGTGGAGTGCTCATTTCCAAATGGAGCATCTCTGCCACACTCTGTCTTAGTCAGCGTTTCTATTGTTGTGATGAAACACAATGGCCAAAGCAAGTTGGGGAGGAAAGGGTTTATTTGGCTTACACTTCAGCATTGCTGTTTATCACTGAAGGAAGTTAGAACAGGAACTCAAACAGGGCAGGAACCTGGAGGCAGGAGCTGATGCAGAGGCCATTCAGGGGTGCTGCTTACTGGCTTGCTCCTCATGGCTTGCTTTTTTATGGAACACAGGACCACCAGCCCAGGGATGGTCCCACCTACCATGGGCTGGGCCCTCCCATATCAATAAACAATTATGAAAATTTCCTATAGCTGGATCTTATGGAGGCATTTTCTTAATTGAGGTTCCCTACTCTCAGATGACTTTAGCATGTGTCAAGTTGCTATAAAACTAACTGGTGCCCCCTTCCCCTCCACAGCTCAGGGATCATCCTGGAAGGTGGGGTGGAAGGATTATGAGAGCCAGAGGCAGTGGATGTCTCCAGTGAAACTGTTTTCTGGATGCAATGGTGCAGTTCTGCATTTGAGCTGACACCGGCATGACTGCATTCATAAGACTTTCGATGTCTAAGAGTGAAAATCTGTAAGGAAATGTTTGTTGTTGCATGCCTCCAAGCCTGTGCTTACAGGGTTCTGAAATAATAGACTTGACGTATTAGAAGGGAGAGGCAATGATCTGAGCCTAAGGGTTCTCGGGCCACCAAATCCTGGAGGCTGCTATGAGAGGCAACACTCTCAACCGAATTTGCACTGTTCAATTTGATGCCTGTGACATGTACCACCTTACCAGGATGACGCTCCAAAGGCTTTACTCCAAGAACTGTGTGCTGACACTATCCTCATATGAGGTGGGGTACATTATCCTAACAAGTATGCTGAATGGAAGATTTCAGAAGACTCACCCCCACATTTTCCCATACTTTTTATAACAATCATCATCAAATTTCCACGCACCCTGGAAAGAGAAATAAAATGAAATTTGTTACTGTTCTGTTGCATACTGATCCTTTCCTAGCTAGGGCACAAACTAACTCAAATCTCACAAAATCAGGCTTTCCATCCCACTGACAATCAGAAGCAAGTTCTTATTAGAGATATCTGAAGGGATAGGGAAGACTAGAGGAGTTGTCTGGAATAAAGAGTTTAAGGCTGTTCTTGCACTTTCTCTATGGTTAAGAGCACTGGCTGCTCTTGCAGAGGACCTAAGTTTAATTCCCAGCACTTGCATGGTGGCTCACAACCATCTGTAACTCCAGCTCCAGGGATCTGAGGCCCTCTTCTGGCCTCTTCAGTCAGTGCACGCATGATACATACTCATTCACATTTAAAAACAAAGCAAAAGAGTGGAGCCAAGCTTGGTGGCACATGCCTACAAATCCTAGCACTCCAGAGGTGGAGGCAGGAGCATCACAAATTTGATGGCTGGCATGGGCTGTGTAGTGAGATCTGGTATACCTACAACTGTGAATAAACAAACAAACAAATAAATGGGTGCTGAATGAATGAATGAATGAATAATAAACGGAGGAACCAACAACCCTAGAAAGAAGGGAAGAAGAGACAATGGGGAACATGAGGATGTGAGAGAGTGAGAGAAGACAGTATGGAAATCAGATGGGAAATGGAGATGCCCTTTCTACAGGAGGACAGAGTGAAGGAAACTCGCTAGGTCTGAGTTTTCAATATTAAAGATGAGACATGAAGATTTCCTATCACTGAGTTGCAGCTGTGATGTAGTTCAATGGGCACAGCACCCACCAAGTGCTGCCAAAGCCCTGGTTTGCATCTCCTGCATGGCGCTAACTGGGCATGGTGGCTCCTGCCAGTAATCCCAACACTTGGGAGGTGGAGGCAGGAGGATCAGAAATTCAAGTCATCCTTCCCTATATGGTGAGTTCCAGGCCAAGCCTTGGCTACATGAGTCCCTGTAAGGAAATAAAAGAAGTTTCACAATAGGAAGTGTGTTCTAGTTCTAGGGGGAGCTTCTATCAGAGAGTTCACCTGGGAAGGCTGGAGTTACAAGCACATGCCCATAGGCCTGGCTTTACCTCCCACCTTTTCATTTAAGAGTGGATAACAGGATAACATATGGTGTTCTTATATGAACAGTGAAGTGATGTGAAACTGTGAAGCGATGGAGATCTCATTTAGAACTCCAGCCTGTAGTAAGCTTCTAGCTATAAATCATAGACTCTGACAGACAACTGGAGTCTTTGGGGGCATGAAATCTTAGCAGAGAGCAGCCCACATGCCTTCAAGAGCTGATCTCATTACTTTCTGGCCAGGCTTCAGTCTTGGGCCAGGGTCAGACCAGGCTATCCACAAAGAATCAGCCATTCATTGCACATGGTACCAAATTTTTGGTAATTGTTGCTAAATCATCCTTCCTGTGGTGATTCCATAAAGTGAGTCCACCTTTTCTTAGCAATGCAAAATTTGCTGTAGTATCTGGGGGTGAGAGACAAGTACCATCTTGTTTCAGTCTCAGCCACCTTGTGCTTAGACTGGCCCTCAGGGTGCTGTCTTGGGGAAAAGAATCAATGCAGAACACCATTATTCTCTCAAACCCTCAAAGATGCCCTGGGTATTAAGACAGTATAGAGCCATTGAAGTAGCTGCAGGGACACAGGAGTCCCTGAGAGGGTTCTGGTAAAGGGGAATTCCCTGTAGTGAACACACAGGCATCCTGATGCAGGGATGCTGTAGAGCTGGCCAGCAGGAAGAGAACAAGTGCTGCTCCTGAGCCCAGTGTGAAGTCTGGTCTAGTGCACACAGGCTGCTGTGGTGCTACTGTGACCAGGCACGCTTTCCCATGAGTGCTGATTAAGGACACCTGTGCCTTCCCGGAGGCTCTACTAAGGAAAATCCCAGACTTCTCCTGCTCCTTACAGCCTGGATGTCAAGTCCTGAACACCAGGTTCTAGTGTGCCTGCAATCATGGCTTTCTAACCACAGCTCCAAATGAATGTCATCAAATCCTAAAGGGAAGCCTGAGCACTTCCCTGGTTGGTCAAACACAGTTTCTAACAGCCTGACACCCCAGAACTTCCTTCTGAGGACTTACCTTTGCATCTATGGAAGGGGTCCATAAACAGATGCATAAGAAGTGTCAGTCGGGCTGAGTATGGTGGTACATGCTTTTAATCCCAGCACTTGGGAAGCAGAGGCAGGGGGATCATTAAGAGTTCAAAGCCAGTCTGACCCATATACAGTTCCAAACCAAGCTGGCTACATAGTGAGGCCCTGTCCCAGAAGACAGCTCTGCAGCGGAGAGGACAGGCTGCTCTAGCAGAGGCACCAAGTTCAGTTCTCAGCATCCACATGGCAATTTATAACCATCTGTAACTCCAGTTCTAGGAGACCTGACACCATCTTTGGACCTCGGCAGGCACCTGGCTCACATGTGGTGCTCAGACATAAGTGCAGACAAATACTCATAGTCTTAAAAGAAAATAAATAAATCTAACTTTAAAGGAAATTGTAACTATAAGAAATGAAAGAGAAGCCGGGTGGTGGTGGTGGTACACACCTTTAATCCTAGCACTCGGAAGGCTGAGCCGGGTGCTCTCTGTGAGTTGGAGACCAGCCTTGTTTACAAAGTGAGTTCTAGGACAGCCAGGGCTACAGAGAGAAACCCTGTCTTGAAAAACCAAAAACAAACAAAAAAATAAAAGAAATTAAATGGAAGAGCTTAAACACGACTCACTTCACCACAGGCATGAATGGTGCCAAATAAAGGCAGAGGTTTGGGTCCAGGAATTCTGAGTTTCTTAAAAACCCCATGAGAATGGGTCCCATATCTGTAAAGTAATAGAGAAATCAAAGTTGCGTGGATTGTGATTGTGACTTTACACATACTAAGTCAGTCATTGACTCGGTAACTGCAAGAATCAAACCACAGAAGTAATAGCTAGGCAACGAATAACAGTAAAAACCCAAACAGCTACAATCCTAATCACTCACCCCCTCCCTATGTCCACTGAGTAGGCCCACATTAGTTCATAATGATGGGAGAGAGACAGGGGAAATTTTTATGCTTCTAACCCAAGAGAGCATAACTGATGAAAACCTCCTAGATTCGGATTTTAGAGTCTCTGAGAGATTCAGGCTCAAAGCTTTCCAGGGTGTTTCATTTGCTTGTGTCCATTAAGAAAATTCCATGAAGCAGTGACTCTCATTAGGTAAGGGGGTTTATTTGCATAACAGAATGTACTTAATGACACAGGGCCATGGAGACCTGATGGTACTGTTTGTCCAGATTGGCCAGAGATGTATGTTTTTCCTTTTCTCTAAGCCACAAGATTGTTAGAGGCTCTAATTGTTGTGAAATTTTCCTTTCTAGAAAGATCCGGAAGCATCATGAAGTTCTGTCCATATAATTACAATTGAGTTCATGACTGCCACTGGATTCAGAGAAATTTCAGATGCTCTCGAGATTCTCTGTCTTGCAATGTGGTTGACTTGTGCTATAAGGAAGGCTGCTTTCCAGTATGTCCCCTCACTGACTAAGGCTTCATTTCTAAGGCATTGGTTAATCTGGACCTCCAACTGGTGATGCTCATCTGATGGGCACAGTGTCGGGGAGACTCTTATTTCTCATGATGGTCAATGTGGTAGTTTGAATGAAAAAGGCCCCCTAGGCCCATTGGGAGTGGTACTTTTGGGAGGTGTGGCCTTATTGGAAGAAGTGAGTCATTGGGGGTGGCCTTTGAGGTTTCAGATGTTCAAGCCAGGCCCAGTGTCACTCTTTCTTCTTGCTTCCTGAAGATCAAGGTGTAGAACTCTCAGCTCCTTCTCCAGCACCATTTCTGTCTGCATGTCACCATGCTTCCCACCATGATGATAATGGACCAAACTTCTGAAACTCTAAGCCAGCCCCAAGTAAATGTTTTCTTTATTAAGAGTTACCATGGTCATGATATCCCTTCACATCAGTAGAAATACTAACCAAGACAGAAGCTAATACCAGGGACTGGAGTATTACTGTGATAGGCCTGACAATGATTTTTTTTGGAGGAATGTGGACTTTGGGACTTTGGATTAGAAAAGCAGCTGAATGCTTTAAGTGGACCTTAATGGGCCATACTAGTAGAAGCATGGAAACCAGTAGTGCTGGGGTAATTTGAATTGTGGCAGTCTGGCTTAAAATGTTTCAGAGGAGAAGAATATTAGTATGTGGCCTAGACTGTTCTTAGGATATTTTGGCAAAGAATGTGGCTGCTTTCTGCCTGTGTCCAAAAAATCTGCCTGAGGCTAAATTGAAGAGTTATGGATTAACAGCTTTGGCAGAGGAAATTTCCAAACAGCCTAGTATTGACTGTGTTGCTTGGTTATTGGAGGCCACGTGCAGACTTACAATGAAAAAGAGCAAGCTGAGAAAGGAAAAATACAAAATGTGCAGTTTGAGGAAGAAAGAGACACCAGGAAGTACAAACAAACTAAAGGAAAGCCTGATGCTACGTAGAATAAAATGAGTGGTGACCTCAGAGAAAGACCTCACCTAGATAGGCTTCCAACTTAGGAAAAGGAATTAAAGAAGAGTGAGAAGGAATTAAAGGAACACTTAGAGCTAGTCATGGTGGTGCACACTCTTAATCTCAGCACTCAGAAGGCAGAGGCAGTCAGATCTCTGAGTTTGAGGCCAGCCTGGTGTACATAGCAAGTTCCAGGGCAGTAAAGTGTAGGCAGTGAAGGAAATCATTGAAAACAGGAAGCTGGTGAATATGTGTTTGCATGAGAGGGCCATGTTCAAGCTCCAGGAAGCAATAGAACTTGGCAACTTCAGTCACATGGTTCTGGTTTTAGAGTCAAGGACAGAAGAAAGGGGTTATAGAATCTTCCTTCATAGCTAAGGAAAGCCACTGAGGCCAGCTGTGTGTCAAGCATGTCCCTGTATGGAGGCCTAGAGAGGCCATTGTGGCATGGATTGCATGGTGACCGCTGCTGCTTGACAGTATTTTGACTTTTGAGGATCACAATTCTCCAGCACTTTCATTTATAATGATTCTCACTCTGTATTATGGGAGTTCCCTCATGCCTTCTCCTTTGGGAAATTTCATGCAGGCTTTGAAGGATGAAAATGTATAAAATGGCAGCCATCCTGATTCACTGATTGCAATAGTCTACTCCTTCTTGCCAACTCCACACCTCCTCTTTGGGACCTGAACCCTGCCAGAGCAGAACTTTGGCACCAAGTGTAAAGCTGTGGAGGTAAAGCCTGGATTACCTTGGAGGCTCCAAAATATTGGAGATGCTAGAGTTATGGGATACCTGCCAAGGAGAGCTGTTAAAAGGGAGTGGAACTAACCCAAGAGAAAGAAGTGTGTTGCAGTCAACAAAGGTGAAAGGAGTTGGAGATATGAGGAGTGCTTTGACCTCAGACTTGGAGATGCAGAGTTTGGAGATTTCCCAGCTGGTTTTCATTCTTGCTTCAGTCCAGTATTTCCTCACTCTGCTCTCTTTCCTCCCTTTTGAAATGGTACTGTATATTATATATTGTGCCATTATATGTTGGAAGTATGTGATCTGTTTTTCATTTTGATTTTACAGGGGATTACAGTTAAGAGATTATATGCATCTTAGGAGAGACTTTGAACTTTGGACTTTTAAACAGTGCTGATACTGTGATATCAACACTATGTGCTGATCCTGTGATATCAGACTATGGGAACTTTTGAAGTTGGTCTACGATATGGCTATAAGCCTAAGGGGGCCAGGGAGTGAAATGTGGTGTTTTGAATGAAAATAGTCTCCATAGGGATATAGGGAGTGGCACTATGAGGAGGTGTGGCTTTGTTGAAGGAAGTGTGTCACTAAGGGTGGGCTTTGAAGTTTCAGATGCTCAAGCCAGGCCCAGTGTCACTCTCTCTGCCTGCTGCCTGCCAATCCAGATGTAGAACTCTCAGCTCCTTCTCCAGCACCATGTCTGCCAGTATGCCACCATGCTTCCTGCCATGACGATAATGGACTAAACCCCTGAGACTGTAAGTCAGCCCCAATGAAATGCTTTCTTGTATAAGAGTTGCTATGGTCATGGTGTTCCTTCACAGCAGTAGAACAGTGACTAAGACAGTTAGTCATAAAAGAGGATGATTATTGCCTGTATGCATCAACTGAGCATATGCAAAGTTCCACTGAGGCAGGACCTCCCTGGGGCAGGGCTGCTATCACTGATGATGTGCCATATCCTGAATCCTATAGATGAGGGTTCATGGTGCCTCAGATCTCCCAGCTCCAATGTGGCTGACACACCAGATGTGGGAGAAGATGCAAGGCTGATGGAAGGTGATTCTGGAGACCACTGTAAGCTTTCACAAGCCAGTCATGCAAGAGGAGCCTGGTCACAGAAAGCTTAGAAATTATAGCAGAAATGGATATTTTGTATAAAGGTTTGACTTGAACCAGGAATTCTTTGATTTGCAAGACAAAGACCTTCAGGAGATCAAGTTATTTTGTATTGATAACAGACTTTTGAAGTAAATGACATAAAATGTGAAACTGTACATGTTCCAGATATGCAAATTAATATCTCTTCCTTCTTATTTTTTAAATTAAAATTTATTATTTTATGTATATGTGTATTTTGCTTGCATGTATGTCTGTGTATCACATGTGTTCGGTATGGTGATATTTGTGCTGAAATGTGATTTTATTTGTATGTTAACAAATAAAGTCACCTGAGGGTCAAAGCTAATAGCAAGCCATAGCAGAAGCTGGGCAGTGGTGTTGCACACCTTTAATCCTGATCACATGACAGGCAGATCTCTCTGTGTTCAAGGATATAGCCAGCATGGAGACACACGCCTTTAATCTCAATACCAACTTTAGAGATCTAGAGGTCTGTATGGACAGGCAGTGATGAGGAGGTCATGTGGTTGGGTTTACAACCAATGAGAGGGCAGAACAGAAAGTCAATAAAAAGACAAATACACAGGAAGTAGGTCTCTTTCTGAGGGGAAGGACAGCAGTGATGGCACAGGGTAAGAAAGGGTTTTTAGTATCAACTCTTAGGTACTGCTCTGACCTCTTGGGCTTTTAACTCTGCGTTTGGCTCTGTGTTTCTTATTTAATAAGACTGTTACATCTATAGTTAAGTGCCCACAAAGGGCAAAAGAGAGTGCCAGATCCCTTGGAACTGAAGTTATAGATGGTTATGAGCCACCATGTGGGGGCAGGGCACCAAACTCTGGTTGTGTGAAAGAGGAACCAGTGCTCTTAAACACTGAGCCATCTGTCTAGTCCTTTCTTCCCGCTTTGTTAGTAGTGAATCTTTAACTCACCACAGGTTCTAAACACTCGCTATCAATCCAGTGAAACTTATAAAATGTTATCACATATAATCAAGAGTTTGCATGGAAGGACATACACTGAAGGATCCCCATGGAGCACTGTTGTGGAATGATCCTTTTGCACATTGTGAAGATTGGTCACTCAGATTGCTTTAATAAAAAGCTGAATGGCCAATAGCAAGGCAGGATTTTAGGACAAAGATATCAGGCAGAGAGAACACTGGAAAGAAAATGGGCAGAGACATGGAAAGTCATCAGCCAGATGGAGAGGAAGAAGCATGGGTAGCACAGAGTAAAAATAATAAAGTCACAAGGCAAAAAGTACACTGATAAAAATGGGTTAATGTAAGTTGTAAGAGCTAGTTAGTAACAAGCCTAAGCTACCGGCTGAGCTTTCATAATTAACAAGAAGTCACTCTGTGGTTAATTGGGAGCAGGCAGGTGGGACAGAAAAATCCACCCACAGAACACTTCAGTGAGGCCTGATTAGCAACTGGGATTCCTCCCCCAAGATTGTTCTGGCTGCCTTTTGCTATTAAAAACAAATAAATCAAACAAAACAACAATGAAAACATTTAGTATTAAGTGGTTTCCATATCGCAAGGTAGAAATTTATGTTTTAGGAAGAAATAGTGTTCCAGATGAGGGTCAGAGAAATGAGAAGAATGGATGTTGATCTTTATACAAGAGCTGGGGTGTTGTGCTTGTTAGTTTTTTTTTTAAATCAACTTGACACAAGCTAGAGACATCTGGGAAGAGGCAACCTTCAGTGAGAGATTGTCTCTATCAGACTGGCCTGTGGGCAAGTCTGTGGGAGCATTTTCTTGATTAATGATTGATGTAGGAGGACCTGAGTCACTATGGGGGGTGTTATCCATAGACAGGTGGTCCTGGGTTGTATACGAAAGCTGGCTGAGTGAGTCATGGGGAGCAAGCCAGTCAGCAGTGCTCCTCCATGGCTTATGCTTCAGTTCCTGCCTCCAGGTTTCTGCCTTGAGTTCCTGCCCTGGCTTCCCTTCATGATGGACTCTAAGCTGTAACGTGAAATAAACCCTTTCCTCTTCAAGTTGCTTCTGGTCATGCATAGTGTTTATCACAGTAGTAGAAAGCAAATTAGAACAGAGGCACTGTGTGCCTTTGTGTAAATTGGGTTGGAAGCAAGAAACACCCACATCCACAGGGAACCAGTCATATACACATCACTTATTCTGACAGAAGAGAGAAGGAAAAGAAAACAAGAAAAACAAACCTAAGCAACTAGGCTTTTGGATTCTCAAAAGCTTGGAAAGGCCATGGTTGCCAATGTGCTAGCTTTATATCCGTTGCTATGCTAAAATACTCCATAAGAAGCAACTTAGGAGAGGAAGGGCTTATTTTCCTGACAATTCCGTGTTACTGTGTCTGGTAAGTCAAGGCAGAAAATCAAGTAGCCAGTCACAGTTAAGAGTACAGAGAGAATAGACACGTGTTTGCTTGCTTTCATCTACTTTTCTTTTATCTTATATAGTTGCCTGGGTATGCTACCACCCACAAGGAGCTGGGGCTTCCTGCATCAATTAGCGATCAAAACAATCCTCCACAGGGTTGCCTACTGGTCAACCTGATCTAGACAATTTCTCAATTAAAATTCTCTTCCCGGGTAATTCTAGGTTGTGTCTGTTAAACTGCTAGTTAGAAACTAGCCAGCACAGTAGCCAACTCTTTATGACACCACACAATTGTTGATTAGTCTATGTGCAGACTGAGAGCCAATTACATTATTATTATGGGAGCAAGTCTTGTCAAAACCCCTCCAAGCCATAAGGTTAGATACAGGTCTGGGTGGGAGCTCATAGGATGGCCAATGATGTTGGTAGAAACTACCTAAGTGCTGGTTTCAACTTCCCCTCCGTGATTTCTTTGGGTGTTTCAATAGGAAAAAGAAAGGGGGGCCTGGATATCACCCCAACTCCAGTTACAGATAGGAAGAAGCTTGGACAGCTACTCACATGTAGATGAGCACCAGGCTCGTAGCCAACAGCACCCAGGTTTCCATGGAAAGGCTGGGGATCAACTCCATCTCAGCTTTCCTTCAGCAGTTCTGGCTCTAAGTTTCCCTCCTAGCTGAGAGTCTTGCAGGGCTCCCCTGCTGTGCCCAGATGAGATCCAATGAGGCCAGTCTGCAGTGTTTATATGAAGGGAAAGGAGGTGTCAGGGATACAGCCAGTAGGAGGGCCACTTGCACACTGCCTGGCCTCTCCACACGGCACTGTTAAAAGTCCATGAATTCCCCTACTCTGACCTTTGAGTTTGTATTCTGTGTATATTTGTTCTTTCAGAAACTCAAATCCATTGGCACTGCTTCCTTTTAATTCTCAGTTGTGTCCATGGTTGTTCTAATTCCAAAACACATTAAGTCCACACAGTTAAACTATAGCTACTGATCTTTACCTATGCAAGGCCCTCTTCCTTTAAGGGCTCACGTGCTCTGGAAGATGTGAAACCCAGGACTGAAAATCACTTTCCACTTTGCACTGCTTGGTTCTTGGCCCAAAATTCAATTGTTTTCCCTGTAATCTTACAGCATTTCTTTTCTCTTTATGGTATTTCATGGCACTCTTTCCCATCCTCCAGTTCTTACATTCTTTCCTCCATCTTCTCTGAAGTGTTCCCTGAGCCTTGGGTAGGAGGGTTGACATAGACATCTCATTTATAGCAAGACACTCACAGTCACTCACTCTATGTCTCTTTTAATAGATCCTCATCAAGTCTGTTGGATATGTTATGGAAGCATTTTCTTTATCACTTTATAGACACAGAGACAGGAAGGGGTGAAAGGAGTGTCCAAGACTGAACCTCAGAGGTGGGAAACAGACAGAATTCTGATCAATTATAATTTTGTAGGGAGCCTGTGTGCTTGTCTTTGAATGGGCTCCTGAGTACCCCACTGGTTGAGTCAACATCACACAGAGTAAATATTTCCTTGAACATCTCCTAAAATACTCCTAGTGTGGCCAAAATTGCTACAGAATGGCTTTGTAAGTACAAAACCCACAGGAACATCTTAGCAGGCATTACTAAATTGTGAGTTCTTTTATCCTAGGAACTGCATGCTCTTAATTATCAAATATTAGGATGTTATGAGCTAAGTTCAAAACTACCAAGGAAGTAGACTTTGAGGTCAGTGTGAGGTAGATGTTTTAGTTGCTTTCCTACTGCTATGAAGAGATGCCATGACCAAGGCAACTTACAGAAGAAAGAGTTTATCAGGGGCTACAGTTTCAGGGGATAGTCCATGACCATCATGACAGGAAGCAAGGCAGCAAGCAGGCAGGCATGGTGCTGAAGTAGTAACTGAGAGTATACATACTGAGACAACAGCCATGAGGCAGAGAGAAAGCTAACTGAGAATGGTGTGGGCTTTTGAAATCTCAGAGTTGGAGCTGGGTGGTGGTGGCTCATGCCTTTAATCCCAGCACTCAGGAGGCATAAGCATGTGGATCTTTGTGAGTTCGAGGCCAGCCTGGTCTACAGAGTGAGTTCTCAGACAGTCGGAACTACTCAGAGAAACCCTGTCTCAAAAGAAAATAAAGAAAGAAATCTTAAAGCCTACTCTCCAAAGAGGCCATGCTTCCTAATCCTTCCCAAACAGTTGCACAAGGAGGGACCAAGTGTTCAAATATATGAGCCTTTGAGGGCCATTTTAATTCAAAGCACCACAACAGGTAATTGGAGATATCTGCCATCCACAACGTGTTGCAATTGGAGTGAAGACACTAATGATGAAAAGTATTTATTGTTTTGCAGAACAACTAACCTGGGATAATCCTTGTTAAATATTAAACAGAGACCTCATCTAACCACATGAACTTCATGAATTTCAGTTTGTCCTTACTCTGTGTTGGGAAATCTGACCACGGGGATTTGGCTCAGCCCAGAGGCACACTTCAGAACAACTCCAGTGCCGGCCTTAGGAAGTCAAGATGCCTTTGACAGATTTTCCCTAGGTACTGTACATTGAAATGGAACCTGAAGGCAGTTATCAATAAGCCACCTAATGTTTTCACGTAACAGTATCTCACTGACATGTCTTTGTTGATGATTAAACAAAGATCTCAACTCTGAATCTTTAGGAGGTTCAGAATTCCCTCCCTCCCTCCTTCTTTCTTTCCTCCTTCTCTTCCTTCCTTTCAAGTTTGTTTGGTATTTTTATTCATTCTCTTTAAATGTATGATCATACTCCCCCCCCATTACCCACTCCATCATCTCCCCATTACTCTCACTTTTATATGCCTTGCTACTCCTCCTTACTCCTTCTTTTAAAAGAAATATTTATTTTAATATTATGTGTACGAGTGCTTGCCTGGATGTATGCCTGAGCACCATGTGGGTGTAGTGCCAGCAGAGGCCAGAGGAGAGCATTGGATCCCCTGGAACTGGGGTTAAAGAGGGTTGTGATCCTGCCATGTCCATGCTGAGAACTGAACCGGAGTCTTTTTCAAGAGCAGCCAGTGCTCTTAATGGCAGAACCATCTCTCCAGCCCTTCACTTCTTCTAAACCAGCCTTTCTCACACTTCCAGGTCTTCTTCTCATGCAGTACCTGTGCAGGTAGCACAGCTGCTGTGTGACCATGATTGCAACGGGCCTGTCATTTTAAAAGACAGCATTTCACAGTATTCCTCCCCCACATCCTCCAGCCTTTACAATCTCAGAGGCTCTTCTCTTTGGCACATACAATCTATGGATACGCCGTTAACCACCCTTTATGGTAAGTAGAGTTGTTGCTCCTAGTCTGTACTTTAGACTTGATTTCAGCATCTCCACCTGCTTGAGATAGGCTGATTAAAGTCAACTAACTAAGGTTTCTGTCTGAGCTGAGGTCATACTTTGATATACAACGAAGGTTATATGTGCAATCCAGCACTAAAAGAAACAAGAGGTATGTGGGGTTTTTGTTCTGTTTTTTGTTTTTTTCTGCAAACATCTACTTTTCCTAAAATTTTTTTATTAAATATTTTTCTTACAATATATTTTAATCATGTTTTCTTTTCCCCAAATCCTCCTGATCCTTCCCACTTCTCTACCCACCTGACTTCAATGTTCTTTCTTTCTCTTTCTCTTAAATAAGAAAACAAACTGTCTTAGTTAGAGTCTCTATTGCTGTGAAGAGACACCATGACCATGGCAACTTTTACAAAGAAAAACATTTAATTTGGTTTGGCTTACAGTTTCAGAGGTTTAGTCCGTTATCCTCATGGTGGTGAGCAGGCAGACATGGTGCTGGAGAGGGAGCTGAGAGTTCTACTCTGGATCTGCAGGCAACAGGAAGCAACCTTGTGTCACACTGGGAGTACCTTGAGTATAGGAGACCTCAAAGCCCGCCCCCACAGTGACACACTTCCTCCAACAAGGCCATAACCCCTCTAACAAATCCATACCTAATAGAGCTACTCCCTATGGGGGACATTTTCTTTCAAACCACCACACAAACTGTCTTAGGGTTTCTATTGCTGTGATAAAACACCATGATCAAAAAGCAAGTTGGGGAGGAAAGGGTTTATTTGGCTTACAGTCATATCACTTTTCATCATCAAAGGAAGTCAGGACAGGAACTCAAGCTTGGCAGGAGCTGGAGGCAGGAGCTCATACAGAGCCCATGGAGGGGTACTGCTTACTGGCTTGCTCCTCATGACTTGCTCAGCTGATTTCTTATAGAACCCAGGACCACCAGTCCAGGGATGGTCTCACCAAGAGTGGGCTGGACCCTACCCCATCAATCACTAATTAAGAAAATTCCCTATAGCTGGATATTATGGAAGCATTTCCTTAATTGAGGTTTCTTCCTCTCAGATGACTTTAGTTTGTGTCAAGGTAACATAAAACTATCCAGCACACAGACAAAAATAAAACAGTACCTGGACAGTTTCAACCCAGATTGGGTACCAGCACTGTGAGGGGGAAAGTAGACAAGGACTCCCACCTCTGACCAAGAAGCTATCTGCAATTGATATCCCTTGGCAAAGGAAAAACCTGTTTTCTCCAATGGAGTCTCTCTGGGTATAATAACCACATCTCGGACAGGACCATGACCAGGAGTGACTAACACAAAGCTACTACTTTTTAATTTTGATTTATATTTCCTGGAGGGGGGCAGAGGATCAGATCTTGACTTTCAGTGGCCAGCCCTAAAGGTGTTCCAAGACATGAGTAACCAGAGTGAACTAAATTCCTTCTCAATGCTTCTGGAGTAGAGTGATTACATTAAGCTTACAAGTTTGTTTGTTTGTTTGTTTAATATTCAATGAAGTTTATGACAGTGAGCTAGCATTGTAGGGAATTATCAGATAGGAGTTGCCAATGATTTTGTCCAAGTTGCAACATATTCTGGCTGGCTGCTGGTCTTAACCACCACCACCACGTTCTGCCCTGCCAAGTCTCCTCAGTCTGCAGCCTTGGGCATTTTGAAGTCATCCCACACTATTGGGAACTAACCTGGGAATGAAGACAATGTAGTTCTAAGGGCTACTGAGCAATTGGGAGTGAAATTTTCTCCCCACGTGAATGAGCTAGAGTTAGTTGTTTTATAACTCTGTCAAGATAAGCAAGAGAGGCAGGTGCCTTGGCTGGAAGTAAGGGAGATTACAGAAGCAGGACACAGCACTTCTGATTCGCAGCTACAGGCACAGTAGGGGACTTTAAACCATTCTAATCCCTCACATCATTAGGACTTACTTTTATCACCTGAAAAAAAGACAACTCTAAATAATAATAATAATAATTCGTGGAATTACTTATGATTCAGTGATGTAAACAGTGAAGCATTTGAAATGGTTCCTTCTCATGGTGTGAATTCTCCCCGAGGAGTATTTTGCTCTGCTGACTTATTCCTGAAGCTGTGCTCCCTGGAAAGGGCTACAGGAATGACTTTTCACAGAGAGAGGGATATCAACTGTGGATGTGGTGGTTCTGGTTTTGGATGCTGTTGTGTAAGGGAAAGGTAACAGGGACCTCTACTCACCCCAGATGGCTAACCACAGACAGATGGCAGAAAGATTCCTCCACAGGGCAACTTGGTGAAC